TGGTTTCTCCATTTCCCTTATTAAAGTCTAATCTCGTTTTAAAATTCTAATAAAGAAAGATCATTCTAATATTTTCTACAAAATCTTTTTAGTCCTACCTCTTACATTTTCTTAACATAGTCAAATCTAATACCTCTACTTCCTAACCGCCAAATCAGAAGCCGCACGTTTTATGTGATCCACATCTAAGCGGACTCTCTCTTAATTTTCTCCACTGAGCTACTCCAACCTTTTCCGTATTATTCATTTAGCCTCAAACTCTAGGATAAAACCCCTCAACCACCTGACTCCCTCACTGCAACACTTAATTATGCTTCTCTTTTAATGCCAACATCGCCACCATTGGAATAAGGATTCAAAACCAAGCGCCAAAAAAATTCTGTTTATATTGAGGGCCAAAAAATCGAATACAAAATAAGTTTTAGACCCCGTAAAAATCTATATTTAGTCCATATGTTGCATATAATTGAGAGTTTTTTTAATGAAACTTTAAAAAATTTTCAATATGAGCAATTCTATATTAATTATCCTTCAGAGAAGAGTACTCCAAACCATAGTTTGTGCATTATGTTATAGCTATAGATATGAGAACAATACTATAAGATTCTATGATTTAGTCAACAGATTAGTTACTTATCTTCTGAATTTTTCAAGTCTTGATGCCAGACAAAATTCTTTAGTAAACAGGGGTTAAATTAATCATCAAGAAGAACACCACAAAGAAATCAAGATCAATTATCTCATTTTAATCGCCATCTGAATTTTATAAAATTGTCACAATTTTTACAGCAAGCCTGAAAAAACTACTTAATCAATGTATGATTAAGATTTTACTTGTGTAGGGGTTAAGTATTCTATTTTTCTTTTAAAGCTCCTTTACTAAGTCGCAATTTAAAAAAATTTCTTCAAAAAAGAGCTCTTAAAGATAAAATTTGAAAAAAAGATTGAAAAAGCCATTCGCCAAAAGACATTATTCTCACCACTTTTTTATTGCAAAAACAGTCAAAAAAGCTCTTCAAACCAATGCCTAGATCTTGTCCATTTTGTTTGTCTGTGGTCTTGAATCATGTAAGGAGATTACTTACATTTTCCCATTCAAGTCATTCCCTTGACATTCTACAAAGCAATCCATAGTTAAAAAGAGGAAAATGTTCTTTTGCAATAAAACCCTTTTGGGCGCAATTTATAAGATCCCATAGGATTCTTTGCTTCAACAGCATCTTTTAAAAGCAGTTTCACCCTTAGCAAATTTGTGCTCTAGCACAATTTGCCCCTCTTCATCACACGTCTAAAAAATTGAGTGATCCCCCAAAATAATGATTTTGGAAATCCCTCGTGAATCCCTTATCACCTTGGTCCTCCAACCACGACTGTGATCCCCCAAATTGTTGAGTCAAATAACCAAAACCACCATCCAATTATTAAAATTAGATACAAATGAAAAAATCCAAAACCCTTAATACAAAAGTAAAGAGATTCCATTAGACAAACTTGTTAAGTGATCATTCCCTTCTCTTTGCACTTTTTTTGGTAATCTCCAATTAAAATTTGTTGTCCCTTACAATAATTACCTCTTTTGTGAAATATTTTAGATAATTAGACCACCATACAAAATAAATTGTTACTCATGACCATTATTACAACACTTCCATAGCATTTGTACCTTGCCTAAAAATAGAAGGAGAAAGGAAAACATAGATAGATAATAGAAGGGAGAGAGAAAGAGAGAGGTAGGAATGAGATATAACTAAAATTTGAAATTTAAAATTAATTTATTTATAAAAATATTTTGAAAAAATTAAATCAAATTCTAACTAAATGGAAGAATCAAGAGAGAGATATTTAATTTGGAAGAAATACTAACTTTATCATAAGGAATTATTTTAATAACTGAGTCTTCCTAATTTTGGAAGCATAGACTAACTTTATCCCCCAAATCAAGGAGATAATTTCTCTATAAAACTTGAAAGCCAAACCAACTTTTTAAAATTCTACTTACCATCCTACTAAATACAAAAACTGACCAATTCTTTAGGCTAATATCTAAGATGATAAAAACATCAAATTCAAATAAAATTCTATCAAAAAAATGGGTTGAACACAACAGTCCCGCTTTTGAGTCCAATCACCCAACCCCAAGGGAATTAGCTTTTTTTTTTTTTTCAATTGGCCAAACTATTGTTGACCTGCCCCAATTTAGCCATCAAATTCAAATCAGCTTGAATCATAGCTTCCCTTAGGTTTCATTCACTCCTATGAATTTTAATATATGATGGAAGAGTCGAACTCCTTCCTCTGAATACAATTTGGTCAGTGCCTTTAAGTCCATCTCTTTTTGGCAATTTTTTTGGGTCTCTTTAATCGACTAAGCATCGAGATAATGGATGGATTTATTTTTTTGGTGATTTTATTTGGTGCCTTATAACTGATGCACACCGGCTATCCATCATCCTATTTTTAAACAATACCATTGGTGATCCACATGATGAACTGCTCTGCCTAGTCAGCCACCTAGCACCTAATCACCTCAGATAATAATAGAGAATACTGGTGCAAAAATTAATTTAGCATAAGAGCTTCCTCGATCAATGGCAATCCATTCATCACAAATATCTTGGCCAGTAAGTCTACATTTCCTGGAAAAGGGTGGAAATTCATACAAGAGCTAGTTAATATGTTTGCCCTAGAAAGGGTCAAGCACATAGGAAACAAAAGAAATCTTATCCAATTTTATTGTCTTCTCGTGTAGAACAAACAAAACAAAGCCAAGATTAGCACTGCTCATCTTTTTAGCTTGACTGAGAGATAACATATCAAGATAAAAGAAAGTAGTCCTAGAGACAATAAAAAGTATACTATTTTTCCTTAAATCGAAGATTAAAGATATTAAGATCTCATCTTGACTTGTGAGATCATGCATTTTATGACTCTGATATGCCGCCGGCCCAGGAGGGGCCGGTTGGACCGGTCCAGCCTGGATCGGTCCAAGTTTATTCACGCTGGAATAAACAGGGTAGGGGAGCGGTAATTCCAGGTGGACCCAACTTGTCTTAAGTGCGATTAGGAGGGAAAATTTGAATGTAGAAGGCTGTTTTAGGAAGTTTAGTATTGTCCTTTATGAGGAATTAATTTAATTAGGAGATTTGGGGGGGGGGGGGGGGAATTGGGGATCATCTTGAATTTGAATTATTTTGAGATCTAGGGTTTGGTGTTCTTGGGCTCTTGGCTTTGCCGGAGATCATTGGAGAGTTTTTCCTTTCTCTCGAATTGAAGGAAAGTTGTATCTTGCAAGTGCTTTTCATCTTCTATTGAAATAAAAGTGTTTGCTTGGTTTCCCTACGAGTTTCTATTGCGTTTCTCTCAGTTTTTCCCTGTTTTTCTGCTGTGGACAGCAGTTTTGCTGTTGAATTTTCACTGGTTTGGGTTAGGATTGCTTGCGAACTTTGGGTTAGGATTGCTTGCGAACTCAAGTATTACCTTAGGGTTACTTGCGAACTCAAGTATTTCCTATCAGACTCCTATGTCTAAGTTGTAAAAATCATGTCGCACAAATCAAGAGATATGACCTCACAACTAACCTCGTCGATGTATCACTGTTATTGAAAGCTTGAAGTGCACTTTCAATCCACCTTGTACTTTAATTACCTCTTGAAGCACGTCAACGAATAAGAATTTGTATTGGGCTATGATTTCTAACTTCAAATTGTTGAATAGTTATACTAAAATTAGGTTCTGCTAACATCTTGTGTCAAATATAGAAAAAAAAAAAAAACATGATCAACTTAAAATGAAAATTTAGCCCAAAAAGCTCTTCCTTAGCCTCATCTTGCTACTAGCCACAAGCAACAAGAAGTAACTGCTATTGACCCTTCATTTGGACTGCATTTGAGGTTATCCTTATTGCTGTACAAGCTTTATCAGCTGCTGATCTTTCCATCCAACCAGCTATAATTGTTGTTTTTGCTTGAGTGGAGTGCTGCATGGGCTTTTTTTGGAGGTGCTGCTTAATGTTTTTGCATGTTAATTAATTGTTCGGCTGTTCCATCGTTTGGCCAGGTTGTAGCAATAATTTGGAAGATTGTGAGAGGTTGGTCAATCGATGAACTTGTTGTACTGCCCATCTTTTATTGATATCTACAATCATTGTCTTCTAGATGGCTTCTCATGAGTAATCAAACCGCAGGGTATGTTTGTTGTACCCCCCATTTGAACTCTTTTTGGATATACCCAAAAGGATGTGGCAAGGTTTATTCAAGCCTGGTAACCATCCCTAAAATATGCACCTGAACTATGATAACTAAATGAAGATTGAAGACCTAGGACCACATGTTCCTCTCCAATTTAAGATCAAATTATATCTTGTATTTCTCTTCCTAGTTCTTTCAATAAAAATTATTTTTTGGGAATTCTTCTTCCTAATTTTTGTGTTTCGTCCATTGATTTTGCTGAAAAGTGCAACCACTTCCTATCAAAGTATCATCCTATGTATCAAAGAAAACCATTAAGCATAAACATTAATATCATTACACAAAAGATTAACCAGTATATCATAAACCATTACTTTTTAGTTGTTTGGGTTTAAAACATACTATTTAGTTTTGTTATTTTCAAAGGATAAATGAACATGATATGTTGTCCAATTGTTCCTTTATATTTGAAAGTGGAGCAAAATAGATATAATCATGGACCATTCCCATGTCCAAAAAAGAATTTGATGCGCACATGGCACCACCCATTAGAAGATTCCACGCTTCACGTTAGAAAAGGCTATGCAAAGAAAACATATATTTTAAATCCTTTGCTCTCTACAAATACAGATATAAAATCCTCTGCCAAGTGACACTACCCTCTTGACCACTCTTCAAACGTTATCACTGCCATCCTCATTAACATCATAGTCACAATCCACCAACTCCCTCCTTTCAGCTCCATAGTCACCATCCAATGAAATGGAATATTCTTCCTGCAGAAATGCCAATTCATTTGTCTTTTTACACAAGCTGCATACCAACAATAGCCCTATCAGAGCCCCTTATTCCACATTGATGTGGCCAACATCTCCCATTTCACCCACCACCACCAGCCTGCCAATTACCTAATCTTTACAACTATGCCTCCAATCTCAATTTTAGTCTCCTACTGTGTCATTGCTCCACCATTAGATAGCAAATTCACAATTCTCTCACTTGTTTTATTTCTACTAAAATTACACTCCATATATTCCGTTTTAGATCTACTCAAGCGAAAACCTTTAGTTTCTAATGTTGACCTCCATAATTCAAGTTTACTTTCAACTCCCTCTATGTTTTCCAAAGCAATCCATAGCTTAAACGAGGGAAAATGTTCTTTTGCAAGGAAAAGCCTTAGCGCAATTTATAGCATCCCATTAGGGAGTTTTGTGCTTCAACGCAATCTTTAAAGCATTTTTGCACCCTAGCAAGATTTGTGCTCTAGCACAATGCCCCTCTTCATCAGCCACGTCTAAAAATTGAGTTGATCAAGAATAATTGATTTTTGGAAGAATCCTCGTGAATCTCCTCGACTCAGCTTGGTCTAGATGATCAATTGATTCAAGAACCTTAGATACAAAAGTGAAAGAGATTCATAGACAAACTTGTAAGTGATGCCATTCCTTCTCTTTTGCACTTTTTTTTGGTAACTCTCCATTAAAAAGCAATTTGTTGTCCTTACAATAATTTACTGCTTTGTGAAATATTTTAGATAATTGAGACCATCCAAAATAAAGTTTGGTTACTCATGGCTTCTTCCAAGCCTTCTAGGTCTTTGGTCCTTGCTAAAAATAGAGAGTGAAGAAAGGCATTAGATAGAGAGAGAGAGAGAGAGAGAGAGAGAGAGAGAGAGAGAGAGAGAGGGTAGGGGAAGTGGAAGATATGAAACTCAAATTTGGAAATTTAAAATCTAATTTTTCATTTATCAGAAAATCCATTTATGAAAAAAATTAAATCAAAATTCTAACTAAATGGAAGAATCAGGAAGAGGCGTCTTCCTAATTTTGGAAGCATAGACTAACTTTATCCCCCAAATCAAGGAGATAATTTCTCTATAAAACTTGAAAGCCAAACCAACTTTTTAAAATTCTACTTACCATCCTACTAAATACAAAAACTGACCAATTCTTTAGGCTAATATCTAAGATGATAAAAACATCAAATTCAAATAAAATTCTATCAAAAAAATGGGTTGAACACAACAGTCCCGCTTTTGAATCCAATCACCCAACCAGAAGGGAATTAGCTTTTTTTTTCAATTGACCAAACTATTGTTGACCTGCCCCAATTTAGCCATCAAATTCAAATCAGCTTGAATCATAGCTTCCCTTAGGTTTCATTCACTCTTATGAATTTTAATATATGATGGAAGAGTCGAACTCCTTCCTATGAATACAATTTGGTCAGTGCCTTTAAGTCTCTCTTTTTGGCAATTTTTTTGGGTCTCTTTAATCGACTAAGCATCGAGATAATGGATGGATTTTTTTTTTTTTTTTTTGTGATCTTATTTGGTGCCTTATAATTGATGCACCCTGGCTATCCATCATCCTATTTTAAACAAATACCATTGGTGATCCACATGATGAACTGCTCTGCCTAGTTAGCCACCTAGCACCTAATCAACTCAGATAATATTAGAGAATACTGGTGCAAGAATTAATTTAGCATAAGAGCTTCCTCGATCAATGGCAATCCATTCATCACAAGCCAGTAAGTCTACATGTCCTGGAAAAGGGTGGAAATTCCTACAAGAGCTAGTTAATATGTTTGCCCTAGAAAGGGTCAAGCACATAGGAAACAAAAGAAATCTTATCCAATTTTATTGTCTTCTCGTGTAGAACAAACAAAACGAAGCCAAGATTAGCACTGCTCGTCTTTTTAGCTTGACTAAGAGATAACATATCAAGATAAAAGAAAGCAGTAGTCCTAGAGACAATAAAAAGTATACTATTTTTACTTAAATCAAAGATTGAAGATATTAAGATCTCATCTTGACTTGTGAGATACGACGGGGTCGAAATGCATTTTGTTCTTTGCATTAAATAAGTATTGCATGACCGCATGCATTTTATGACTCCTATGTCTAAGTTGTAAAAGTCATGTCGCACATATCAAGAGATATGACCTCACAACTAACCTCGTCGATGTATCACTGTTATTGAAAACTTGAAGTGCACTTTCAATCCACCTTGTACTTGAATTATCTCTTGAAGCACGTCAACGAATAAGAATTTGTATTGGGCTATGATTTCTAACTTCAAATTGTTGAATAGTTATACTAAAATTAGGTTCTGCTAACATCTTGTGTCAAATATAGAAAAAAAAAAAAACATGATCAACTTAAAATGAATATTTAGCCCAAAAAGATCTTCCTTAGCCTCATCTTGCTACTAGCCACAAGCAACAAGAAGTAACTGCTATTGACCCTTCATTTGGACTGCATTTGAGGTTATCCTTATTGCTGTACAAGCTTTATCAGCTGCTGATCTTTCCATCCAACCAGCTATAATTGTTGTTTTTGCTTGAGTGGAGTGCTGCATGGGCTTTTTTGGAGGTGCTGCTTAATGTTTTTGCATGTTAATTAATTGTTCGGCTGTTCCATCGTTTGGCCAGGTTGTAGCAATAATTTGGAAGATTGTGAGAGGTTGTTCAATCGATGAACTTGTTGTACTGCCCATCTTTTATTGATTTCTACAATCATTGTCTTCTAGATGGCTTCTCATGAGTAATCAAACCGCAGGGTATGTTTGTTGTACCCCCCATTTGAACTCTTTTTGGATATACCATGATGGGCTACTTTGCCTTTCCTCCCTCTTTTGGCCTCAATTTTAAGTGGGGCTTTCAACACTTGGTGTTAGTACGGCAACGGAGTTGGAAAAATGCACCAAAAGGATGTGGCAAAGTTTATTCAAGCCTGGTAACCATCCCTAAAATATGCACCTGAACTATGATAACTAAATGAAGATTGAAGACCTAGGACCACATGTTCCTCTCCAATTTAAGATCAAATTATATGTTGTATTTATCTTCGTAGTTCTTTCAATAAAAATTATTTTTTGGGCATTCTTCTTCCTAATTTTTGTGTTTCGTCCACTGATTTTGCTGAAAAGTACAACCACTTCCTATCAATGTATCATCCTATGTATCAAAGAAAATCATTAAGCATAAACATTAATATCATCACACAAAAGATTAACCAGTATATCATAAACCATTACCTTTTAGTTGTTTGGATTTAAAACATACTATTTATTTTTGTTATTTTCGAAGGACAAATGTACATGATATGTTGTCCAATTGTTCCTTTATATTTGCAAGCGGAGCAAAATAGATATAATCATGGACCATTCCCATGTCCAAAAAAGAATTTGATGCACACATGGCACCACCAATTAGAAGATTCCACGCTTCACGTTAGAAAAGGCTATGCAACAAAAACATATATTTTAAATCCTTTGCTCTCTACAAATACAAATAAAAAATCCTCTGCCAAGTGACACTACCCTCTTGACCACTCTTCAAACGTTATCACTGCCATCCTCATTAACATCATAGTCACAATCCACCAATTCCCTCCTTTCAGCTCCATAGTCACCATCCAATGAAATGGAATATTCTTCCTGCAGAAATGCCAATTCATTTGTCTTTTTACACAAGCTGCATACCAACAATAGCCCTATCAGAGCCCCTTATTCCACATTGATGTGGCCAACATCTCCCATTTAACCCACCACCACCAGCCAGCCAATTACCTAATCTTTACAACTATGCCTCCAATCTCAATTTTAGTCTCCTACTGTGTCATTGCTCCACCATTAGATAGCCAACTCAGGGGTACTTACATCCCAAAATTTTCTGAAAAACTGCTTATCATTCATGTTAATAAAAAACCCTACAGGAATTATTAAAAAAGATCACATAGCATAACAAAAACAAAATAAAGATCAATTCCAGTTTGACCAGTGTACAAAAGCAAGTTGTCAGGAGTTTTTAAAAAAAAATGACATGTTCCAACAAACACAAGAAGCATAGAGAAAACGAAGCAGTCACAATATAAATGATCATGAACATTTTTTTTTCTTAAAAGGAATTGCCTCACCATGTTAAAATTCTATTATTCTATACTTTCATGCTAAACATTGTGACATACCTTGTAACGCGAAGGTAGACTGCGCATAAGTTTCACACGTATGCAAAGTCCAATAATGGTAGCCATACTACAATGCTCAACAGTAGGAGTAAAAGTGACCCTATATAAGAAATGGTAACTTGGTTTGGCAATAGCTACAACACATACAAATCTGTCATGCAACGAAAGAACATTTCAAATTTAAAAGCGCTTGAAAATCTTGCCTGACATGGTTTAGCTTGTCATTGACTTCAATTGAGTCTTCTGAAACAACATTCAATTCTTCCAATGAGTACGGGTGTTCAGGGTCTTTTATATCCCTAATATGATTTGAGAAGATTAAGGAGAACAGTAACTCGTAGTAGTTTGTCCAATATTGCAAAACTAGATCCTTGCTAATTCATGAAAAAGCTAATATTGGCAAAGTAACGCAAATGGGAAATTTAAGAAGTAGCACTTTGCCAACATCCTAAAACTATTCAATAACAAACTATGCTTAGAAACAAAATTGGACAAAACTAATGCATAATATGGAAAGCTTACCATGCATACAATGAAAAATTATTTTGAGGTAAGAACAGAAATTTCCTACACATTTTGAATCAATCAATCAACCAAGAACTTTTGCTGTGCGTTCACAGCATCAACAAGTACTATTAGCCAATCTGAAATTCAATGATTTAATGTTCTTGAATCTTTAGAATTGTAGGTTTCCCCAAGCTTGCACCAAAATAAATATATTATAAACTTCAGGCCACCAAATGAATAGTATTGGATCAGATCTAACAAGAAAATGGCCCTTGTCAAACCAGCAAACCAAAAATGGCATGATCTTCAGATGGAAAATGCAATCTCTAAAAATTATATTTTGAAACCACAAGCAAGCACGGTCTTATAATGAAACACCCATGCATTTATCCAGCATGGAATTATTTTCTTCTTCTTGTATAAAAATAAAATTGAAAAACTTTTCTTTTTTCCTCTCTCCCAAAAATAGTCTGATTAAACTCATCAAAGTAAAAGCTCGAAGACAGATCGCAAATAAGAGCAACACAGCTAGTAGCAAATACCAAGTATGATGTTGACATAGAGCAAGCAATGCCATTTATATTCACGCACAAAAAATTTATAATATTGCAAATGGAAGAACTTGGGGAAACATGAGAATATAAAATCATAAACTTCCGCATTAATGAACTGAAAATGCTGACCAAGGTTTTTCTGGTTTAGGAGAGATTTCCCTATTTAATTATCAAATAAAAATGTTAATTAAACTACCATGAAGAAGTTGGGGAGGGCATGAGCAATGAAATTACAATGGAATAACTTATGCTGTTCAGACAACAAATATTTCGAAATTGTTAACAATTCTTTTTAGTTGAAAGAAAATACAATCAATTAGAGACAAACGAAAGTGCATAATATGGTATGATATGATTCTGCATTATAAGGATATCAAAAATTTCTTGTTGATCAATGGACTCTTCCGCATACTCATCAATATTTGGCGAATCATTCCTAACACGCCTTTCTTTCTTTCCATGCACAACAGGATTGGCGTTAATCAATTCCCTAGGCATTCTTTATTACTCAGCAAAAGAACCTGAGGGTGGAATCTCTGTTTTCTTTTGCAAATTTGATAAATAATTCCTGGAGAAAGGAAAGATAATGATTTAGTAAAAAAATTTCAACCAAAAAAACTCCGTGGCAACAAGAATGACAAACCAATTGGCATACGAAGAAAACAAACTCACTCACACATCACCACTGTCTACATGTTTCTACATTCCAAACATCATTAGAAATAGAAGCTACCTAGCGTCAGCAATAATTTAAGAAAATTATAATCACAAAGAAGAAAAGCAGAAAGTTAAATGCATAACATATAGATCAAGAGATTAATAGACCACCTTACCATGAGGAAGTTGAGGAAACGCCATACAATAAGGAAACATATCACACTAATTAAACAAAAAACATAACCTCTAGATCAGGAACCTTATTGAGATTGTCAATAAAAAATGCTAAATTCTTAAATATTAAGTGGTTGTTTGCTGCAAGTATCTAGAATACATTTGTATATTAATTGCAGTGTTAAGTAATAAAAATGCATTTATTTGGTTAATTGTAAAATAAATTGAGAAGATTTTTTTTTTTTTGGCATCTGAACTGAAGTAAAATGAAACTGAATTTATTTCCGCAGCTCACATTGGTCTGTTGGTTGAGAGCTTTGCTATCAACCAAGAGCTCTTAAGTTTGAGACTTGCGTATGTGATGTGTGTGTGAGTTTGACTTAATTGGCCTAAATGTCCCAAAAAAAAAATTATTTTTAAACAATTCTATAGCATGCAAGGATGACGATAACGTGGGGATGGCATCACGTGGGAAGAGATAGGGGTCACAGGGAAGAGCGCTAAAGGATGAGGATGAAGCCGGATCCGAAAGTCACAGGAATAGCTTCATCTCTTGGAATGAATTCAACTTAGGGCATACAAGGAGAGCTAGAACAAGAGATCGCGAGGAGAGATAGAGGTCACAAGGAGAACCAAAGGATGCATCGATGGTGTCACAAGGCAAGCACGACATGGTCGACGATGTCACAAGATGGCTTAGGCGAGCTTGTGAGGAGAAGGTCGCATAAAGCTGGAGGTCATGTGGGCACACGAATAATCAATTATGAATCCTCCCAATTTAAGCAAATTCCAAATTCATAAAAAATGAGTTATTTGAGGTATTCTAAATTCCTTGGAGATACACTTTGAATTTCAAGGCATTAGCTTCCGAAATATCAATTTATTTGTTAAAGTTCATAATCATTATATTTATCAAACTATTTGGGGATAGTCTCATAGTTTCTTAGTCTAAAATTTGTTCCCATTATGATTCACATGAGGAGTTAAAATTATTCTGCTCAAATTAACTTCTATCCATATTACATTTGGCCTAACCCTTTGTTTTCTTCATAAACCTTTGACAATAATTTCACCTATCAATTTTATGATAGAGAAAAAGTGCGATAAAGGCTTGATGTTGTTGTTGTTGTGGTATTTGCTATCCTGTACTATGCATGTCCAAACCATTGAAGTCTGATTTCACTATCTTATCTTAAACAAATTATACTCTCAATACATTTCTTACAAAATATTGTTCAATATATCATGTCCAAACCATTGAAGTCTGATTTCACTATCTTATCTTAAACAAATTATACTCTCAATACATTTCTTACAAAATATTGTTCAATCTATCATTCCTTAATCCCACCAACGTATTGAGCGACCAGTTGTTGGGCAGATTCGTTCAAAATGTTTCAGGCGCTAAGTCGAAAGAATTCTTCATTATAGCTGTTCGCTATCCTAGTTACTTGGGAATAACGTTGATACTATAGGTAGAACAAACTGTTCGAAGTCAGATGGAAGAAACGGCCTGCATAGTAGTTGTTTCAACCTTACCTAATTCCTCCTGTTTCATTTCTCTTACTTCCATCGGGATTGTGTCGATTGCAGCCATCAATGCCCCCGCTCCATATTTCAACTTATAGACGACATATCGGGCTTGTTTCGCCAGAGGAATTTCCATGTAATTGAAAAATGACTCGATCGATTGATGCCTATCAAGATAATCTTTATGGACTGTTTGGTATTACGCCGGATTTAGTCTAAATCCTGTTTCTTCTCCATTTTGCCTTATATTCCGGATTTAGTTAATCAGAGAGTTCTGCGTATTTACATGTCTTACCCGATGAAACGCGCGAAGGGGAGAAAGATAGAGAGGTACCTTCTTCGTCACGAGCTTCCGTCCTGACTTCCGATACGACGACCGCTTCGGCGAGGCAGAGGAGGCTAGGGCTTTACAAGGCGAGCACTGGCAAGGTATCGGCGGTTTGCCGTCGAAGCGAGGGAAGGGGAGATCCGTTAGGGCTAAGGATTTATTCCCTGAGGTAAATTCCAGAACCTAAAAAGAAATGAATGCGTAAGGAAACCCATTGAATTTTATATTAAAATTCATAAATAAATGATTTCTTAGAATTAGATATTACTTTTTTAATTAATTGCAAATATTTTATAATTTATTAAATAAATTAGATATCAATATGTTGATTACAATTAAATTAATCTTAATAATTTTTAATAATTAATTAAATAATACTATTTATAGCTTGATTATGAATTAATTTAATTCTTAATTATCATATTAAATTAGTTTAATTTTATTAATTAATTATTAAGTAAATATTACGGAAACTAATTATACTCACAAATAACATGATTATATGTTTCAAATTTATTATTAATAATTTTATTAAATTTATATTTAAACTAAAAATTTAAATCTTATAACAATTAAATAAATAATTTTATTAGATTTCATCAGCTTTAATCACTTTCATATAAAAATTTCGAGATTCCAAATTTAATAAATCCTGTTGATAGGTGTGGTTTTTGTTGGGTAAAAATAGAAATAAGAACTTAATTTATCATCAACAAAACAAAAAAAAGCTATTTTTTTAACGGGCTTCGTTTGGGACAGCTTGTGACTACTGTTTTTTTTGCCGTTTCAAGAATTTTTTTCACTAAAAAGTTATTTTAGAAACAAATAAAAAAGTAATTTTTTGTTTTGGGAAAAGAGGTTTTCCTTTTTCTTGCTACCTGGTTTGTTTAAGACAGCTTTCTTATTAGTTTCTAAAACAATTTTTTAGAACAAAAATTTCTATAACTAAAATTTTTGTGCTAAAAAATTAATTTATAAGCAATAAGAAAGTTGTCTCAAACAAAATCTAAATAAGCTATTTTATCTAAAAACATGATCAATGTTTTTTTTTCCCTTGCATAAGTTTGTGGAAAGTTGAAGCACTTCAAATAGGAAAAATTTTAGGGAAGAAATTATTGATTTGAAATTGCTTGAAATTAATTTTATAATCATTAAATTTATTTTGAGATGAATATAATATCAAATAAAAAAAATTATGTTCATTAAAAAAGAAAACTTAAGCTAGAATTCTATGTATATTAGCTTATTTGTCGATTCCTTAAAAATACAAAATGTAGAGAAGCACCTAAGCCACTTTTGAAGAAAAAAAATATTATTTAGGATACCTTGACACAAATTTAGTAAAAATGAATTTTATAGGTTTATTTATTCTCTTTCAAACACCTAATTTATATAATCTTAATAACGGGAATCAGAAAGTTGAATTATACTATATTTCACATAAAAACTCTGGTCTTTTAAAATTTTTGTTTTCTATGGATGTTAAATTTTTATCTAAAACGAAGATATTAACATACACTGTATCGCCGTCAATTTTAGGATTAATTATTCTGTATGGACGTCGAACGCCGTCCGGAGACCAATCAGAATGCGCCATGTCACCCATTGGCTCAATACCACGGCTCAGTACTGCTCGGCATCGCGGCTCAGTACTACTGACATGGAGCATTCCGATCTCCGCACAAAATAATCTCTCCAATCTTAGAGCACATAACAATAGTCATTAAATTAACTTTAAAATAAGTGAAATTCAAATTTTGATTTTAACTTGAATTTCATTAATTTCAAAGCTAACTCAAAGACAAAAAATTCATCCTCATCACAATATGTTAGAATATCCTTACCCATAATTCACCAGCAATTATCACAAGAACAAAATCCCAGTCTAAAATGATGAAACCGGCGTCTATCCCTGACAATAATGTCCCTCTCAAAAACCTTCGATATCCATTCAGTATATTCATGGCACTCACTGCACATTCTGAGGTTTGTAAAGATTCTTATAGTGGAGACTGAGCTTGTGTTCATCATAGCAAAAGCAATGGCAATTTTCTGACTCTGACCTTCAGAACTTCTCAAGTTATCAGCTTTATATCCCTCAAATCTAAGCTGCCAATCCATCTGATAAAGCATCTCCTGCACTTCATCACTCTGAGGAAATGATTTATCTTGTGAAACAAATGTAAAGATCTTCCCTTTCACCTCCACCTGGCTGAATCCCGGAGCCTGTACCAGACCTCGGTTCACTATTTCCTTTCGAGCTTCAGCTGCATCTTCCCATCTCTGCAACTCTGCATACATGTTTGATAAAATCACACAGTCCCCGGCATTAACAGCTTCCATCTTCTTCAACTTTCTGTAAGCACTTTCTGCTAGTTCAATATCTCCATTGATCTTAGAAGCACTCAGAATGCTTCTCCAGGCCGCATCGGTAGGCTCGATCGGCATGTTTTGGATCTGTTCATAGGCCTCATCCAATCTCCCGGCGCCGATCATGAGGTCCACCAGGCATCCATAATGCTGGGCATTAGGCTTTATTTGATGATCAAATCTCATTTGATTGAAACATTTGAGGCCTTCCTCCACCATCATAGCATGACTACATGCACTGAGCACATTAACATATATAGCTTCATCAGGTTTAAGGTCTTCTTTTAACATGTCTGAGAACACCTGCAAGGCCTTTCTGCAATTATTATGCATTGCCAAGCCTGAGATTACAGCACTGTAAGTCCATAAGTTCTTCTCATGCAATTTATCAAAAATCAACATTCCTTTATCTAATTGTCCACATTTCATATACATATCGATCAGTGAAGTCTGTATGATTATGTTCAAAGTTGGGTAATTCCTAAGCAATGAGCAATGTAAGCTTCGGCCGAGACCGAGCAAGCCCAAATTTGAGCATGAGGACAGAGCTGCAACCATGGAGGTTTCATCAGGCTTCAGTTTCTCACAGCTTATTTTAGCAAATAGATGAAGGCAATCAACGCAGAAATTCATTCTATTGTAAGCTGAAAGAAGGGAGCTCCAGGAAGCAATAGTCCTGTTTGATCCCATTAACTCAAAAATTTTGTAACTGAGCTCAATCTTCCTGCATTTTCCATACAAATTAATCAAACTGTTATGTATGAACACATCTTCATCAAATCCAAGCTTGATTGCATGACCATGCAACTGAATTCCTCCTCTGATGTCAGAGAGTAAAGCGCAAGCCTTGAGAACAAATGGAAAAGTAAAGTTATCTGGATTGATAGATCTTTCTATCATCTCTTTGTACAGTTGCAGAGCTGACTTTGATTGATCATGGTTGACTTTAGCTCTGATTATGACATTGTAGTCAAATGTACAGGGTTCTTCAAGGTTGAGGAAGATTGCAAGAGCATAGTCAAGGCTGCCCCAAGCGGACAGAGCACAAGCTGAGAGGAGCTCTCCGGCGTATGGAGGAATGCAGTCAAGGCCGAGCTTTAAGAACTGTGCATGAGCTTTTCTGAAGTCTTCCATGGTTTTGACTTGGTGAAGGGGAACAAGGCATGGTGGTTGTATTAATGGATTCTGGTCTTTGAGATAATTGTGATGGTATGGCGATGCGAGGTGTTGGTGGAGACCTAAACTTCCTACCATGATTCCATTGCCTATATGATGTGAAGAAGAAGGAAGAGGAAGAAGAAGATGGAAGTGATGTAATGGTTGGAGATCTGTGCGGAGATTTCCTTGTTTGTGAGGAGGATCGTTCTATGGGATAAGGGTGGAGCAAGGAGATAGAAAAGGGGTCCACACACCTTCATGAACCATTTGGAAATTGAAATAAATAAAGATAGCTTGCAAGGTGGAAAGGGACCCACCTTATTTGCTATGGCATTTGCTTGGCTTGTTTAGATTGGGCTATAGTGGATAGATAAGATTGCGTGGGCCCCAATAATTGCCACATCACCCCTTCTCTTGTAATCAGTAAAGATTATAACGGTTTGCCCAACTCACTTATATATGGATATGTATTGATTATTTTTTATAGAGTATTTATATTTTTCTTATTGAAAGTATAAAATAATATATTTAAAATTAACATAAATCTTTTTCATTCTAATTTAGAACTGGCATTTGAAAAATAAGCTCAGAATATATTTTAATTAATTTAATTAAGAAAGTTTAGATTTTTTAAGCCATAAAATATTTTTTTTAAAGTTATGAGCCGTTAATCAAGACTATAATACTATAGAATATCAACCCAATTACTTCATAAAACATACAACATATTTAGATATTTTATAAGCTATTTGTAGGTAAGTAAAATCACAAAATCGAAACAAATAAAAAAAGGAAAACAACAGAAATGTAAATGAAAAACTGAAAACTGGAAAAAAAATCAAAGAGTCATATAGCACTAAGAATTTTACTATGAAAATAGAAGAAATTACACATATCACTCTCTCTTTCATTCACTCCTTATCTTACTTCACTTCTCTCTTCACATCGTTCTATCTCAAAACTAATAAAAAGAGACACTTTTACAATATGAACCGGTGCAATTCTTCAAGTTAAACATGAAAACAAAAAGAAAATTATCCAGCAAGACTAACAGTGGTGTGGCATCAAGGTTTGAAACGACATGACGCTCTACTCCCTATCTCAATCCCAACTCGCAACATCACAGTGCTAGAGCGTTGCAATGCTCTGCTCTTTGTCACCAAGTTAAAACTACAATACCTCCGTGCTTCATGCTACGACACCAATGTGCACAATTGTATAACGCTGCAATGCTCTAATGTACAATGTCTTAGCATCGTACAATTGTACGAATTTTTTTTTTTTCAATCCCCTGATGAAGATCGACCGATAGAATTGAGATTTGAGTCAATAGTACACTCAATTGATCACACAATTAGATTCTACATAAAACTAACATTATTCATTACCATGAGGAATTCATATATTCAATTCATTTATCATCAAAATAAGCAAATGTTAGGCTATTATGCTATAATTAGCACATGTTATTGAAGCAATTAATCTAAGATAAAAGTAAGGTAAATTGTTACATCTGGAATTGAAAAAAGAAATCATTAGAGTACAAATAGCATCATAAATAAATGTTAAAATTAATTGAAGTATGTACATACAAAGGAATCAAAAGCTACCCATTTTCTCAATCCAAGGACAAATAACCGGATTCTTTTTCCCTAAAAGAAAAAAATCTTTTTTTTTTTCCAAAATTATTTTTCATGTAAGGGTGAGGAGAGAGTTGAGTGAATCCCAAATTGTAATTTGCAGTGCGAGGCAACAAAGGCATGATCATAAGACATCATAAAGTCGTAAAATGGGTGAGACTCACGAACATGTTTTTGGAGTTTGGGGGGGTGTCTTTCTTACTGCTTCTTAAAATAACTTTTTAAATACAAAATTAATTTTTGTGCATGAAAGCTGCTTTAAAAACAGTAAGAAAGCCATTACAAATGAAGCCTAAGGTTTCTTTTGTTATGGCTTTCTTGCTGCTTCTTAAATCAGCTTTTTAATACAAAAATTAAAATTGTTGTACTAAAAATTTATTTCAAGAAACAATAAGAAAATCGTCCAAACGAAGCTTAAGAGTGCGGCTTGGAAAAGAATTGCTCAAGCACAATATTGCATTTTAAAAAATAATGCAATTTTTTTTCAAGAATTCTCAAAATATTTTTGAAGTTGTGTTATTTTCAAAATGAGAATTACCTCAATCATCCAACCTCCACATCCATTGCCGCCCATCCCTCATCATCACTGGGTCCTTCGCATAATTCAACTTATACAATTTTTAATAAAAACAAAAATAACACCTACTTAATCTATCAAATTTACACAACTCCTCGTGGTCTGTTGGTTAGGAGCTTTGGCTACCAACCAAAAGGTCTTTGGTTCGATTCTTGCCTTAATTGGCCTAAATATCCAAAAATCAAAAACCACCCATGGAACAGCCTACATCCTTATAGGCATACCAACTTGTTTTTGAAAGACATTTAAGCTAATTAAGACAAATTCATACATACATCACAAACGCAATATTTGAACCCAAAATCTCTTAGTTGATAGTCAAAGCTCCCAACCAACAGACTAAAATGAGCTGCATTAAACATTACAAACTATCATTGCTTCTTCTAAAAGTCAAATATGGCCATAGTAGACATCAAAATATAAAGAGAGTTAGAACAGACCCCAAAATCAGATACTTCGATCACATAGATCTCTCCTATTGTGCCAAAGCTTTTTTTTAATTTTATTTTATCTTGCGCACTTCCAATAATAGCAATCAGAGCATTATCACATAACTAGCATTATTCTTCTGATAAAGTTTCCCTTCAACTACTGAGAAAACAGAGTTTTAGCTGCTCGACCATTATTAGGAAATACAAAATTAAAATAACACCAACTGTATGAGCTTGTACCCGAAAAGAAACTTCAGGGTACTCATACAAACCAAAGAGTTCAAATGGATAGACTCTTCAACATAGTACAGAATCAAAACATCAAGCGCAAATGCAACAAAGAACTACAGCTATATGAAGGTTTCAAATCCTGCCATGGGACATATTATTCTATTCAGGAAGCAAATGAGTCTCTACTGTATGTCCCAAAAAAAAAAAAATCATAATCATTCAAAGGTAAGGTAGAACGACGCACCGATGGCATCAAATCTTCGATTTCCTTGCAATCTTGAACCACTCAGTGTGGAATGATCCAGTTATGTCAGTCCTCTCATATGTGTGAGCTCCAAAGTAGTCCCTCTGAGCCTGAACTAAATTAGCAGGAAGCCTTTCCCTCCTGTAAGTGTCAAAATAGGCCAAGCTTGCTGACATGCCAGGAGTGCTGATGCCGGCATTGATAGCAAGACAGATAACCCGGCGCCACGCTGCCTGCCGATCTATTATCTCCTTGGCGAACTCAGGGTCGACAAGAAGATTTGACAGATTAGAATTCCTGTCATAAGCCTTCTTGATCCGATCCAAGAAAATAGCGCGAATGATGCACCCACCTTTCCAAATCCTTGCAAGCTCACCAAGCTTGAGATCCCATCCCTTCTCAATACTCTTTGCTCTAAGCAAGTTCATCCCCTGTGCATAGCTACAAATCTTTGAGGCATAAAGTGCCTGCCTGACATCATCAATCAGCCTTGCCTTGTCTACAGGCTGGTTGCTTAAAATGTCATCAAAACCACCTGACTTGAACACTTTGGAAGCCTCAACTCTTTCTTCCTTAAGTCCACTTAAGAACCTTGAATCCAAGGATGCCTCAATGGTTGGAGCAGCAACTGATAAATCTGCTGCCTGTTGTACGGTCCATTTGCCAGTACCTTTCATTCCAGTCTTGTCCAGGACTTTGTCGACCAAGTAGCCGTCGCCCTTGTCGTCTTTGATTCCAAATATGTCAGCTGTAATTTCAATCAAGAAACTAAGAAGCTCTCCTTTGTTCCATTCAGTGAAAGCATGTTGCAACTCTTCATTCGAGAGCTTGCCTACAGACTTCAGCACATCATAAGCTTCAGCAATCAGTTGCATGTCACCATATTCTATCCCATTATGAACCATCTTCACAAAATTGCCTGAGCCTCCTGTGCCAATGTAAGTAACACAAGGGCCACTATCTGGAACTTGAGCAGCCACCTTGAGAAGAATGTCTTCTATATTTTTGTATGCCTCAAATGAACCTCCGGGCATAAGTGAAGGCCCGTGACGAGCACCCTCTTCTCCGCCGGAAACTCCCATTCCTAAATAAAGTAGACCAAGCTCGTTCATGGCTTTCTCTCTTCTCTCCGTGTTTTCATACCATTCATTGCCTCCATCTATTATACAATCACCAGCCTCCAAGTGTGTAGTAAGTGTCGCAATTGTTTGATCGACAGGTGCACCGGCTTTCACTAGCATTATGATAACTCGGGGTTTCTGAATTGAGTTGACAAAGGATCGAGGATCATGAAAGCCGTAAACTGGGAGGTTTCCTTCAAGCTTAGCACGTTCGATAGTCTCATCAACCTTGGAGGTGGTTCTGTTGTATACAGAGATGGGGAAACCTTTCTCAGCAATGTTGAGAGCAAGGTTCTGGCCCATGACAGCAAGACCAGCAAGACCAATCCTTGTGAGGGCCGCCATCCTCAACCTGTTTAACATGTCAGGCATCATAAGCTTCAAAAAAGCATGATGAATCAGATTCTATCAAAAGATAGATCATATTATGCTAACTGCTTGACTTAAACAAGGGTAGATAGCGTTAAAAAAGCAAGCATTAATCAAAGATTTTAGAAAAGATGAGATACTATAGAATTGTAGTATTTAGTATTCTGCGAGATGCTGATGTGTATGATTAAAAAGATATTTAATCATTGTAAGAGAGGAGTCTTTATTATTATTATTATAAAAAGCATGATGAATCAGATTCTATCAAAAGATAGATCATATTATGCTAACTGCTTGACTTAAACAAGGGTAGATGGCGTTAAAAAAGCAAGCATTAATCAAAGATTTTAGGCAAGATGAGATACTATAGAATTGTAGTATTTAGTATTCTGCGAGATGCTGATGTGTGTATGATTAAAAAGATATTTAATCATTGTAAGAGAGGAGTCTTTATTATTATTATTATTATTATTATAATAT